AGATGCCCTCCACTGCCCCTTGTCCCCTGCTGCCTTTTTTTTTTGGTGCCTGCTCCTCCCCATCCCCCCACCCCCACCTCTCCCTTGCTGCAGGCCCCTCACCTCCCCAGAACCTACCCCAACCCCTTGCTTGTGCCACACCCATGCTGCCAGTCCCCCTCCACCCTGCCTGTTCCCCCCACTTACCTTCTGTGGCAGCTCTGGCCCCAGCTTCAGCTTGGGGATAGTCAGTGATCCCAGCCTGGTATGGGCAGGCAGAAGCAGCAGTGGCAGCTCTGGGCCTAGCCAGGTCGGGTCTGGAGCTGGAGCTGAAGCCAAAGGTAAGTGGCAATGGGGGCGAAGTAACCAGGGGGGCTGGTAGTGGGGGGCAAGCTAAGCTCACCCCTAGCCACACACTGGAAGTCTCCATGGGGACCCTGCTCACCTTGCGCAGCCTGCTCTGTGCTGCCTCCATCCCTACAGAGTGATCTTCTCTGACACTCCCACCACCACCACCTGCCTTGTACCCTTCTGCACAAGCCACCTGGGCCTGGGGCAGGCAGTGACACGGCTCCAGCTTGAAGCTGGGTCTGCAGCAGCTGCCTGCCCTGGGCCATTAATTGAAAATAAGATGGGAATCTCCGCCACCCCCATGTTGATTGGGTAGCAGGGAAAACCTTATGCTGGATTTGAGTAAATATGGTACCATTGATAAACAGAATTTTTAAGATATTTACTGAGGTTTAGACAGTTTAACATGAAGCTCAATACTCATTCATTTAGGCTTTTAACTGTTTTTTAACCTATGCTTTTTTTTTTCTTTTTGCCAAGGTCCTAGAGGCACACCCGAGCTACCCAAAGATCAGAAAGGAAATACTTGATAAGGCCCGGGCATCTTTAAGAACCTGAAACTTGTTTGAATGGCTTACTAATTTTTTTAAATTTGTAAACGATGAATTTGATGTTACAGTGCTAGAGGCCGTATCAGTACCTGAAGATGGGGACTACTTGATACTTTATCAACTCTCTTATGCAGTTTTCCTTTGAGGAAAAAAGAGAGAATTTCTTTATAGCAGTGAGTTTGTTTTCTCTAGCAGAAATTGATCTACTTCAGATAAACTGAAGCACAAATACTATGTTAATTATACTTTTTTACTAAATGGGAAACTAGATGACAACTGGTGGCCATCTTCCAACAGGAACTATCTTTAAATTTTATAAACATGACCAGTGCTCTGCCAGTTCTCCGCCTCAACAGGAAGATGTATTGCTGTTCTATGTTTAAAAAAAAAAAAAAGCATCATCAAAAATACAAGTAGCCACAATGAAGGCTATAATTAAGTTTATGTAGAACTGGTTTTGACTGCTTCAGACAGATGGATTCAGACAATGCAATATCCTTCTGGCTTCTACTAGTAGTTTTACATACTGTGGATAAATTTCAAATTGACATTTTAAAATTATGACCATAGCATATTCCAAACTATGCATTATAAAAAAATCTGTATTTCTTTTTTAAAAAAACAAATAAAGGATTTTTAAATAAAATAACATTTAGCCCCTTGCACTTCCTTTGCATTTAGTAATCTACAGTTAGAGAAAAGGCAGGGACAGGCACACCATCAGACTGTTTGTTGTCCTTGAGCAGCTCCATATTTTAAAAATAGGTTTTAAAAAATTTCTGATAATTCCTGTAGGGTTTTTTTTTCTTTTCTTCACTGAAAGTAACTGTTTTTGTCACTAACAACAACAGTGTCTCTTAAAATAAGGAAAAAACCTCCTATATTGATTAGGACAATCGAGACAAACTTCCTATATTGATTGATTAGAATGGTGAGTTTTTTTCATTCTAGCAAATAATTTTTCCAGCAGTTTTATCAGTCATATGTATATATGTACTTGTGTGTGAGAGAGAGAGAGAGAGAGAGAGAGAGAGAAACAAGTATGTTCACAAGTAATCATATCTTGTGTAAACCACTGGAAACGTTTTTCAGACAAAGATTTTGTTATAGCAATCTTAAGATCTTCTGTTGTGTACACAATACTGGTTTCCCATAAAACCAGTTGCTTTCTGACTCATGAGTGGATTCTGAATTTTTCTCTCTTGAATGGTATAACATCTTGCCTTACAAAACTTTGCTGTACTGCTAGATTTAGTCTTCAAATAGCACATCATATTATCTCTTAAAACAAGCTGTTTTGGCATGAAGAGACTTTTTCAAACTAGTAATTATTTTAGGGAGTTCACCAATCTAAATTTCCTCCCTAGGTAATTCTAGCTTCTTATTTTGACATTTCATAAGGGTTATAAGAGGAAAGATGACACCAAAAATGTTACACCTTTTGGAAGTTAAAGGTATCTAACACTACATACCAATACTTGAATATAAATATGCTGGGTAACTTTTTTTTTTCTGTTAAGTCAGCCATGTTAGCCTGTAATAAAATTTGGTAGTCAGGAGTAAAGCCCAGAAAACCAAGAATTTTAGTAATATGTAGTTTTCAGTGAGTGTCCAGAGGAAGGATTGTTTTAAGGGTTCACAGACTAGACTCGGATACAGCCTCCAAAAAGCCTCATCAACCATAGGTGAAGGACACTTTGTGAAGGAATTGGCCATTGGCATCATATTGTTAGTAATTACTTTGCCAACACTTACACAGAAGCTTACCTAAGTGCTGCATTTATGGAGAAGAAATATATGCTACACAGAACAATATTGACTCTTATGGAGGTCTCTACCCATGCTGGAGAACAACATGATAATTCAGGGCACAGTATATTTTCATTGGCAAATGTGAAGCCTATAATTCACTACACTAAGTTGAAGCATAGGCAAGATTCAGAAATCAGGGGTAAAAACATTTAAAGATGACTGAACCCTGTCAGTGATGTTATTAACTGTGTAACTAATGTCTCTCCAGCAACAGGCTGCCTAACTCCAATTCTCACCCACCCACTAGGCCTTGCTTATAGACTCAGATGCAAGCTGTGCCCCCTCATTAACAAATCACATCATTGGACCAAACAACATGGATTATAACATCTGTGCTTTGTTCATCTGCTCCTCCACCAACACTACATAGCTTTTGTCCACTTACTATGTTACTTAGCTCCCTACATTGACCAGATGGGACAAACCCTGTATAAAAGATTGAGCAAGCACTGATTCAACATCTGATCATCAAAGCCTGTTGAAAAATATTTTTAACCCCCCTGTAAATTTTATCACTGACCTCAGAGTAGCTATCCTTAAACAACAACAACTTGAAAAATCAACTTAAATGTAAATTTCAGAAGAAATCATCTACAGATTAGATTGTTAACCATGGTCTCAACAGGGACTAGGGATTCTTATTTTATTACTTCGACTAGCTGTAAACTCCCACATCCTTAACTACCTTATTAATTTCAACTAATCTAATCAACCTACTTCTTACTTCTCATAGCTCTTCCTTTGCCTTCTATGCAAGACCCTTTGGGTGCAAACAAAAGTGACCGTTTTCAGGCAGCCTCGCCACAAAAAGCAGTCTATAGCCGTGACCAAGCACACAGCTGCAGACTGCTTCAAAAATGGCTGATTGGATGACAATCTGAATCCTCATTGTACAAGGGTTCAGATGAAATAGTGTCTTCTGTAACTTGTCTGGCAGCCTCCAAGCTGTTTTTAGAAAAGGAAGGGGGAAGTAGTATTGCCAACCCCACTGTGCCAAAAATCATGAGACAAACTCTGAAAAGTCAAGAGATTGGCACATAAATCATGAGATGCTATTTTTGAAGTGTGGGTATGTGGGGAGGGAGGTTTGGAGACCAGGAAGGGAGGGTCCCCACACACCCTGGCAGGGTGAAGGGTACTGTGGGTCAGGAGTGAGAAACAGCAGCAGGGCTGGGCGGGCTGTGGCTTAGGTGTAAGAAGCAGACAAATGCACCGACAGCACCCAGCTGGTAAGTGGAAAGACTGGGGGGAGGGGGGGAATGGAGGAGGGGCAAATGGAGCCCCAGGGCCAGGACAGGTCATCCAGAGGCGTGGGAGAGGGGCATGGCTCCCCATAGCAGCACACCCCCATGCAGGAGGCATAGGGGACGTCTCCCCCTCAAGGGACTGCCCCCTGTTGGCTCAGGGCTCTGTGCCCTGCTGCCTTTGCCCCGGGAGCTCATCCACATGACCCCAGTGTACCTCCTGCCACCGGGTGTGCAAGGGATGTGCCATGCAGCCAATGTGCCCCATATTCCCTGCCTGCCCAGCAGGCGACAATGGCATTGCACAACTGAGGTCCTGGGGGAAGGCACCAGGGCACAGAGCCCCAGCCTGCAGTAGGCAGCCCGCCTCTTCCCTTTGGGGGACACATGCCCTTCCCCTCCACTTACCAGCTGGAAAAATCTGGAGATCTGAGGGTCGGATCAGGAGATCATGGGTCGGAGTTATTTTGACTTTGTTGCGAAACCATCCTGAGACTTGGGATTTCAGTTGGCGCTACTGGGGAAGGGAGGGGAGGGAGTTTGGTCTGGGTATTTTTTTTTTTTTTCCAACCCCTGCTGGAGGGTGCTGAAGGTGTATTGGAGCCTCCCCAGATTGGGGGAGGGGGGGTTCACCCTCCAGTGCCAGCTGAGAAACTGCTAGAACAAGCTCCCTCTGCTCCATTCCCCCCTCCAATTCTGAAAATTGGCAGGATGGGAGGGAGGAGGGCCTGTTGCTAAGGTAAATTGGCTGCAGGATCCCAACCAGCAGCTAGATTCCCCTTGCCCCTGGAACCAGCAGTGAACAGGGGATTGTTGCAACCCAGAACACTTCCTGCAAAAATCTCTGAGTTACACCAGGGAGCTGCACGTCTGCCTGTGCCCTTTCTTTCAGTGATTCCTTTCATAGCATCTGACCAAGTAGGTTGTTGTCTATAAAATCTTATGCCTCTGAATGCTAGCTCCCTCAGCACCCTGGGGTGGAAAGCATCTGGACCCGCTGACTTGAAGATGTCCAGCCCCTCCAGAAGCTCTCTAACCCAGTCCTCCCCAACCTGAGGTCTGGAGGCGTTCCCCTCGAGTCCATCTGGCATCACAGCGGGGAAGTCCCAGTCCCTGCACAAGAAAACGGACGTGAAGAATTGGTTAAAGGTTCCGCTTTCTCCTCTGGCGCAACCACCAGATTGCCCAGCATAGTTTGCAGGGGTCCCACATTACCCGGTGCCTTCTTCATCGTCCCTATGTATTTGAAAAAGGACTTTTTATTATCCTTGATCTACTAATTTCAGAAAGAACCATGGCGCATCATGGAGTGTTTTGTGATTAAAATCCTGGTCCTATTAAAGTCTAAAGGCAAAAGTCTCCTAGGCCAGCAGGGCCAAGATGTTACCCTTTGGCATCTGTACCAAACAGATAAAGATGCTAACCTAAGAAAACCTGTCATTTAAAACTAACAGTAGCTAACTCATCAGCTACTGTCATCAATAAAGTATTGCCACTGGCACGCGTCAGCTGTCTTCAAAGGGAATGTGTAAAGTTATTCTCAGTCATAAACAAGGATCAAGGAATTTGTTTAGAAGATACTACTCTGTCTGTAATGCTCAAGAAAATTATGTTAAAAAGTTTGTTGGCATCTTTTTGGAAAAAAGGTTTTTTTAAACATTTTTGGTTAATATTTTTTTTTTACGTTGTAAATAAGCTCTAAATGCTGTTATTTAAAGTCCGTTTGATCAATGGGCTATTGTGAAAAGGCCTAGATAAATAAAACACGGCAAAGCAAATTAAAATTTTGTATCACATAGCAATTTTATTTGAATGTGCAAAACGTTTATTATAAAAGGCAATGAAGGATGCTGCTTCTGAGCCTTCTGAATCATGGATGGTACATCACATTGCATTTTTTCTTAATTGAGAAACTACTGTAGAAAAGGATGTTGCCATGTTGTTTATTATAAATGATGGCTAGTCAAGGATCCATTGTCTTCCTAAGTAAGTGTAACTCTGCATGCATGGGAGGGAGAGTTGCAAATAGGTAACAGAAGATATTCGTTACCTCACAGTAAATCTCTTATGATAGCAGCAAAATAATCTCCAGAAAAGTAAAATGAAATTTTTGGCTGCTATCTCTGTGGCTGATCTGAAAGAAATGGTTTATGTCAAATTAATGATCCAGCTGGTACAGGATCAAAAGGTGCTACAAAAATGCTAACCAATAAACAGTGAAAAATAATTGAATTTTTTTTTTCTTGGAAAAAGGCAATTCCAGAAAATACCTGCAGTGATTATAGACCAACAAATCGGATAGGAGCTTTCAATTTGAAATGGTGGGGGAAAAAAACAAAACCGAACCAGAGGCTATTTTGAGCCTTGGATGTAAGGACATTGTATCACAGACTTAGGGAGCTTGTCTCCCTGCATGCTATTGCACATGGAACACTGAAATTCAACACTGGAGAGAGGATGACAAAATGAGATGGGGCTCTAAAGGGGTCAGAATAAATAATAAAAAATAATTAAGTGTATGAAGGGCTGACCTAAGGAAAATAATAGTAAATCTATTGAGCTTTGCTAATAGATGACAAATAGTATAAAATACTGACTATAACTGAGAGTTTACTGCAGAAGGGAAGGAATTATTATATTATATAGAGGTCCTGGAGTGTATAACTGTACTGAGATAAAACTATATAACAAAATTAAGTGTTTTATTGAACCACACAATATAAAATATATTCCACAGTCATTTCAAATTAGAATGGGTATAGTAGAGTGCAAACTTCATGGTATAACAAAAATCAACCAATTCACTTAGATGAGTTATGTGAAAGCATCTTTAGAGAAAAAAGATACTGTCTGGGATTTTTTTGAAAGGAGAAAATTGGAATACTTGTCAACCAATTAAAGGTCCAAACACTTATTTTTGTGCCTAACAGCAATGATTTCATAAACATTAGGGCTTGAAGGGACCTCTTGAGATCATCGCATCCAGCCCCCTGCCCATGATGATTATAATCCTTCACTGTGATTCCTTTGTCTACTTCTCTCAGCCTTTGGGTTTTAATTATTTGCTTTAGAAAGTCTTTTCTTGATTGGTCATATGTCTCTGGCCTAAACTATCAT